ACTGCTAGCGCATATAGCCCTCGTGTAGCTTTGCGCGAAATTCAAAAACAAACCATTTCTAATCAATGTCAGGACAAGATCTGCTAAGTATCGATTATTGAATATATATAATACCATAATGTCGAGTATTGACATTACATATAAACCAGGACACTTTTCATTTGCAAACTTCCATTAAAACACGAGTTATATATATATTTATCACAATAAAGATACGATCAATTGGAAGGAATAACTTTTATAACTCTGTTGTGGCTCTTGAGTTCTTGGTATTTGGTTTAAGCTTCTGGTGTTATTCTTAAAACCCTATCGCGTTATCCATAACTCGATTATTTTTATTCGTTGCACAAATAGTAGGTGAGCTAATAACGTATGATATAGACGGACTTCGAATATTTATTAAGTTCAACAAATCAATAACTACAGTTTAAATACTTTGAATTCCTTAAAGCATCGTTTTAATTGATTGACTATCAAAACATGTTTCAAGTACTTACGGTAAGGATGTGAAAATTGTAATCATTGTCATAGTTAGTAGTCTACATGATTACATAAGTCTTATTATTCATTAGTAACAATTTATATATATATATAACTAGATACTAATCACAATCTAGTTTTATCCCACGTTTCGGCTGCTAATCTTGTGCTGTCTTCAGCTAAATCCTGAAGAAGACTGTTTGTTTATGTGTTGGTAGTAGTCGGGATTCGAGTTCTCGTTCTTCTTCATAAAAGTCTGGTGTGTTATTCATTTTACTGGGTGTCTGTGACTTGTTGGTGATAAATTTCAACAATAAATGGATAGCACACGACCCATTTGATTTAAAATGATATATATATATTCAAAACATGTCAAATGTATGTACAAGAAAATTCGTTACACTATTGGTTAACACAGTTGTATCCATAGCTTTAAATAATTGTCTCTTTTGTTTCGTCAAAGTCCACACAGACGAATCCAGTTCTTTTAGAACATCCTTTGACAAGACAAATTATTCTCCTCTACTCTGTTGTTACAATACAAGGCTGTGATACTCACTTTAGAATCACCACTATAATTGTTGGTTACCACAATTGTGTACAGAGTTTTAAATAACTATATCCTTTTCGTTAAAGGCCACACAGGCGGGTTTGGTTACTTTAGAATACACTTTGACAAGACAAATTATTCTCCTCTATCTCTGTTAGTACAATACAAGCTTTGAAACTCACTATAAAAATCGCCCGCTACAACTAAACTGACAATCACGCAGTCTAACTTCACTCTTTCAGCTTTACTTTCGCTTTCACTAACTCAACTTGCTTATTTCCTTGTACTAACTTGGTCGTATATATCTATATTGCCCAACTGAGGCCTAGAACTTTCTACATACTATGAGACGTTATGATGTAACAATACTCAATGAAAAACAAGAAAAACGTAGAAGTTTCGAGTAACATGATGTCAATCCACAACAATTGAACTACATAACAAATGATTTGTAAACAGTTACGTAAGCAAATCTGCGATAAATTATTGCTTCTAAAAATACTAAATTGATCACTCGCCCTTTATAATTGCCTAGATCATAACTCTCGTATTAAATTTACATGAAACAGTCGTGTATATCTAACACTAATTTGATTTCTAAATTGGAGAGACTCTCTAACAGGTGGGTAACACATTAGACGTCCCTCAGGACCCAGGATCGCATCCCGGTTATTCCCAAGATACAAATCGTTCTTCTCTAGACTTTTTTGGAGATTGTAGTAGATTAGAAGCTGATATGTAGGATAAAACAATTTGGTAGTTAATATCTACTTATAAAAAAGTTAACAATTAAACTTAGATGATCGCATAAGCTGTTAATTATATTAAACTTCTACCCTTTACCTTTTGTAGGTAAACAAGACTAGGTAAAAATTTTACGTTGCGTCTGAGATATCGACATGTTAACTGGTTCCGTTTTTGTTTTGTTTTTTCACATGAAAAACAAAGAACACAGTAAAATGGTTTTAAATACTTTGACCAACATTCATCATAAACTACTGAATGAGAGAAATATTAGATGGCAAACGTAGTTAGTAATCTCACTGAGTGAGGAGTAAATTAAAAGCGTGACGAATGAAAATAAAGCTACGTATATTTTAGGCTGATACTCATTATCATCTTCATTTTGTTTGTTTATTATTAAGCATAACGCTACAGAAAGGGCTGTGCCTACTGCGAGTATCGAAACCTCATTTTCAGCGTTATATGACCCTCAGAATTACCGCTGAGTCACGGACTATCATCTTGAATTAAGCGTTAAAAAATCAGGCTTGATTTCCGTATACATTATGTACAGACATAATTACAGCACAAGCCACGTTCCTATTTGACTAATACCATCACTTATATACATTGAAGTTAATCAGCACAAGCCACGTTCCTGTTTGACTAATACCATCACTCACGTATATACACTGACGTTAATTAGCACAAGCCACGTTCTTATATGACTAATATAATGACGTATACATACTGAGGTTAATCAGCTAAAGCCTCGTTCGTATTTGACTAATACCATGAAGTATATTCACTAAGGTTAATCAGCACAAGCCACGTTCTTATATGACTAATACCATCACGTATACATACTGAGGTTAATCAGCACAAGCCACGTTCCTATTTGACTAATACTATCACGTATACACACTGAAGTTAATCAAACTTTAGAAAAGCGATATTTCATGATCTAACGCTGTTCTTGAAATTATTAAGAAGTTGTCTATTGTGCTCATCTGGAAATCATGATTATATACTATTGTCCGACTCGCAATTGCTATTGTAACAAACCTCTGTGAAAGATTGCGAGATCAATCTTACACCCCAAATCTGGATCAACTTTTCGAAGACGCTCCACTATATATGATATCAGCTTTCATTACTACATTTAATTAGTTCTAAAGTACATCTGGGGTCTTCGCAGGTATATAGTCGAATGGGAATGCTACGATTCCAATTTATTCGAGCGTCTTTCTAAGAAAAACGACCTTTGATTTCGATGTGTGGAAGCTTGTGAATTTTGTCCATTTCAAGTTCTTGTGGGTTAACAGTTACAAGAGATATGTCCAACTTAATCACTACAGTTTTGGGGTCAAAGGGTTCCTTCTCAACTGTCACCTCGCGAATGAAGGGTTTGCCCTAGATTGGGTTAGGGAGTATTTTCGGAGACGTTACTATTCTAAACGCTTTGTTGTTCGAAATTTTACGTTTCCATAAAGAACACATTATTCCCGTGTTTTAGTTGTTGTCTTTAGGCTTTGTGTTTAGTAACGATCTCACTCTATGAATATTTACTTTCGGAAATGTTTTGTATAACTCGTCAGCTATGAAAAACCTATGTTGGTATTACAATGTCTAATTTTCGGGAATTTAATATGTGTTAAAGACGTCATCTTAACAAGCAAATCTTTCAAATAAAGTGTGATTTTACAGGAGAGTATCCCTGAACAACAAATAGAAACGAAAGAAATTCAAAAAAGACAGTTTAAGGAGACTCATAACCTTGGATAATAAAGTCATCGTTTTGATAAATTAATGTACGATACGTGACATGTTTAATACTATGGAGCAAGACACTTCTCTGTCATCGTTTAACCTTATTTAACTTACTCGTTCACAATATTCTGTAACAAGTTTCCACTTTAAATATAGTTTTAAAAGGTTATTTCCCTGAATAGTAAGCAGAGCATCTAAAATACAGATGTGATAAAATTGGTATACACACACACGTCTCTGGAATAAACGGGCTAGTGAGCGATTTATCTTTTAAACACCCAATACTTGTTACGCGATTAGTCTGTGCATTATATTAAGACGTTTTACCCACTCTCATAAAAAAATAATAATAGTTAAAATAAATAAATAATTTAGTTGCACACACAAAAAAGCCAAAAAACAGAGACACCTACTGAGACGCTTATTTATATGAAAACTAATACTGAAATATCAATAAAAAAAACAATTAGTTGTGATAGATTAATACAAACTGTTTGTCACTTTATAGTATGAAAGCAAGTTAAAAGATGGCAGCACCATAGCAAGATTATTTATTTTTCAAGAAAAAGTGTTTAATCTCATGTCTATAATCAAACCTGTTACAATAAGTGTGCTGTCCATTCTTCTCTCACCGACACTGTTTATGACAACGCAAGTGTAAGATCCAGTATCCCGGATGCTGGTATCCCGGAAGTACAGGGATCCACTCACTTGGATGACTCTTCTGCCCACAACAACAGAAACCAGTCGTCCTCCTTCATTCTTGTACCATCTGTAATAAAATTTCATTGTTTTTAGGACGTAAAATACAAACTATTTATGCTCTGACGATGAATACTTTTAAATGGATATGTAAATCTTGTGTAAGTATTTGAATTCTATTGAGATTTATAAAAATGCTCATATTTTAGTGAATTTCAAGAAAACTCACTCAAAAGTATAAATGGGCAGGTTTTCCATTTGAATCAAGAGGGTAAAATATTAAACATCCTGTATGAAAATATCCTTATTTCCAGACGAAAAAAGTTTATTCGGTGTTACATCTTTATTAAATATTTATTTGCAAAATACTCCAGTTAGCGCTAAAAAAGATACAAAATAAGAAATTTTAAATTTTCAAGTAGACGTTAGACCGCCAATATCAAGAGCATAAGAAGTTGAATGAAGTAAAAAAAATCAATGACATAAAGTTCACTCTACGAATTCTGTATAACTATATGCATATTCTTTGATAAAAGAAAATTACATAAAGTTCACTCTACAAATTCTGTATAACTATAAGCATATTCTTTGACAAAAGAAAATGACATAAAGTTCACTCTACGAATTCTGTATAACTATATGCATATTCTTTGATAAACAAAAATGACATAAAGTTCACACTACGAATTCTGTATAACTATAAGCATATTCTTTGATAAAAGAAAATGACATAAAGTTCACTCTACGAATTCTGTATAGCTATATGCATATTTTTTGATAAAAGAAAATGACATAAAGTTCACTCTACGAATTCTGTATAACTATATGCATATAATTTTTGAAAACTATGTGCATCAATTTCCAATATATTGAAAAGAAGAACACGCTGTTATATTATAGCGGATCTATTAGCAACTAGATTTTTTTACAATGGAAAATTATATATAACTGTATCTATAACCTATAAACTGGTCGAAAAAATTATTTTGTCAAGACCCAACAAACTCCTCGAAACATTTAACTATAAAGGCAATATTAGCATACAACTAAATATAACTGTTAAAATATTCATGGCCTGCGTGGCCTAATGGTTTGTGTATGTAAAGCTGCGCACCGAGAATCTGGAGTTACAGACGTGATACTACAAAACACGCTCAGCACTTTCTGCTAGACGCATTATAAAAGTGTCAGTCAATCCCAGTTTTCTTGTTCAGAGTGCCAAATAAAATCATTGTAGCGACGATTGTTGATATCTGGCTGCTTCCACCTGGTCAATAACTCAGAATTATGGACGGCCATATCTGAACCCTAGGGGTGTTTGATCTGTTGTTTATCCCACGGGCACTGTAAAGTGTGTTTCAGGTTGAAAGTTCCAATTATATATCTCTAGAATACCCATATGCAAAAAACAATACAGTAGAGAAAAAAGAGGATTAACACATATGTTACAAGTTATAACAAAATCTATATGATGAATCATAAGTATAAAAACCAAAAATGTTCTTTCGAAATCAAAACTAGTACGTGCCCTTTGTTAATAGTAAAATTTTGATTACAGATCAGTAACCAAGCACATACATATTTATTTACTTTTTGTTGCACATAAGTTAGGGTTTTTCCAACATGTTTGTTTCTTTGTTGTTAAGCTCACAGTTACTCAAGGGGCTACCTGACTCTGCCCACTACAGGTATCGGAACCTGATTTTCAGCGTTACAAGCCCTCAGACTTACTGCTGAGCCACCAAGTGAATATTTCTTATAAGTAAAAATATGAAACGAGTTAAAACACAGGGTTTAAAAAGATAAATTAATAATAAAATATTATTGGTATGGTATTCATATTGAGAAACAAGATAAATAAAAAAATGTGGAAATTTAGAAACCTGTAAATAGGGATCGTAAAACAGTAAGGAAACAAGACTAGAGATACTGTAAACATTATTTATTCAAACTAAAAACCACTACTTTGGCTCCATGCTGTTACCTAGAATTACACTTTTAGAAGTCAAAATAAGGGTTTGTAGTTTGAGTAAATAACGTCTACAGTATCTTGTTTCCTTACTTTTTACGATCCCTATTTGCAGATTTTTAAATTTCCAATTTTTTATTTATCTTATTTGCTGGCTTTTTTTATGCTCAACTATGGGCAAAGGATTATTTGATATGGTAGCTGACTTTATACATTATAATGATAATACACATAACTAGTAGCTAGCTGATACGGTTCATGATGATTTACTATAGCTATTGACTATTTGATCGTAGTAATTCGAGGCGTAAAAAGTTAAGCTGCAGCTGTAGATTGTCATGGAAGATTGTTTGAGAATATCGTGAGCATTTATAGTTTCTGTGTAGCTAACTTCCCTATATATATAATGCATAGCAATGAGCAAATATATATATGCCTAGACTAAGATACAACCCCACTAAGCACGTATAAGATTTTACCAGTAGAAAAGCAGTCTTTTCATATAAAACATATATGTCTAAAACATCACTTTATATGAATCTTGGTGTCTTTTATATTAATTATTCTACGAATGTGTGTAATAAAATTTAATATTATGTGTATCCCTTCACTTCACACGTAATATAGGGGTTGGCTCCCTAAAGACACGTGTTGTATAGTGTACAAAACACTGAGTATCTACATGTTACAGTCATTTAATGTTCATTTATTATTGGCTGGTAATTCCTGTTTCACCCTGTACTTTAGCTTTTTAAACGAACACCAGTAAAAAAAAAAAAAAGCTATCTTCAAGGGGTAATGATAACATCGTTTACACTAGAATTATGATGTTTTTTTTTAGCTTATGTAAAATATAGATGAAACAAATCAACTTTTCAATACCCCTACGACCTTCGCAGTACCTTATTTAGTATTCTACAAAAGGTTTGTATGCTGGCAAGAGAATAATAATAACAAGAAAAATTACTAACGGGCCGTTTTGATCGGATTTTCTTCTCCATGTAAGTTTAACATGCTTGCTTTTTTATGCATTTTTATATGTGTACAGCCTTAGCAGTCAATAGTAAAGGTTTTAAAGTGTTGGTTAAACTAAATCTTTACTGTTTAAGGTGCTTTTTGGCCGAACGTTTTATTATGGTTTTGTACAATTCCTTGCGATCCTTTATCGTGTTTCATGATATACCAAAATCAATACAAAATTCGGCCATATAATTTAGGTTAAAATATGGTTATTTTAGTATTGTTGACATCTTTCACATTCTTCATGTGTGGGTGTGAGGGGTTGTTCTTGTTGTTTTTACTTATTTTTTCATTTTCAATAAATGCCATTGAAATGTATTTGTATCAAAATAGGAATGGTTATTTTTTATTCGCCTGTTCCAGGATGGTTGATAGAAAATATTAATCATATTTAAATGAGAGACATTTATAAGTGCGAACATATGTAATTTCAGCGAATAACACGTCAAATGTGGATTTGTTCCGAGGGAGAGGGGGGTCTTAAGGGTAAATGCCAGGTTTGGTGATAATCGGACTAGAGATTCGCTAATTATAAGCGCACTAAACAAACTGGAAATGCAGAGACTTTTGCCAAATAATGGTCTATATGGTAGGTAGTACTAACACTCTTTGGATGTTTTATTATTGCGCTGTTGTTGTTTTTCCAGTAATAAAAGAATTGCGCGGGCAAGGAAATTACAAAACGCGCCCATTTTGTAACCCCGATAATACACCCTAAAACCTAAAATTAAGTCTACAAACTCTCAAACATCTCCTATGATTACTTACCATCCTAGTACGTCTATAGTTGCCCCGATCATTAAACAAAGCTTCAGTATCCTCACTGAAGACCCCGTAACTTCCAAAATTACTAAAGAACGCCCACTCGTCAGTTATAGACATGATAAACATATTAAAATTATTTTAGTCCACAGTATCACCAGAAACCTACCTCTAGTGTGAACCCTCCCCGTATATCTCGTTGACGCAGAAAGAAATGCGTCACCTGTCAATATATTAACACTAAATATCCATACATGGCCCCAACAGAAAATTCCAAATACAACAGTCATTTACGCGCATTTCAACAAGCCTCTATGATCTGTAAAAAAAAAAAAAATAGTGGCATGCTATATATTGGCCAAACGGATCTCCGCTTAGAGGATCTTTCACGTGAGCATCTCTCTTATATAAGAAATAATGACACTACAAAACACTTTAATAACTCTTCATATTAAATCTACTATTTCCCGACACTTGGACTCATATTTCCTCCCTCCATGTAAGTTAAAGAGAACGCCTGGATAAACGTTTGACTTTTACATTAGGCATTATCAATCCCTTGTTTTTGTTTTTTTTTAATTATGCACAAAGCTACACAAGGGCTCTGCCCACCACGGGTATCGAAACCCGGTTTCTAGCGTTGGAAGTCCGCAGACATACCGCTGTGCCACTGGGGGGCTATCAATCCCTTTGCAATGAATAAAGAGTTCCCTTTCCTATAACTTTATCCTTTCCATTTCCCCTCCTTACACTGTCCCTTATTTGTGATCTATACTTTCTCACACTGAACATTTGTTTGCACGACAGTTTTATTCAATGTACGTTCTATTTTTTATTCACTCAACTGATCACTTTAGTCACCTATATTTATTACCTTTTCATTCATTTGCTTATTTGTTTTCTTTTTACAGTCCTTTCTCACCCTTTTTATATTAAATTACCATACGTTTTATTGTTGTATCTCGTTGAACAATATTATTTGATGTACACGTTCATTCTTTTATTGATTTCATTTCATTACATTCTTATCTGTATTCATGTTCTACATTTTTCTTCTTTCATTTAGCTTATTTATTACAATTTATTACACTTTACCGAATACTTATTAATTGTACTATTATTTTTACCTTTGTTTGTCACTTCCCTTATCTCGTTTGTAGCTTAAGAATTTGTTTTCGAACCTTCGAACCATATGTTATTTGTGTTGTTTTTTTTCTTTCACCCTAACTCCTCTATTAACGGTTTTATTCTCACAGAAAACCCGATGAAAGACTGTTACTCTAAACGTTGTTTTCGTGTTCATCAATAAAGTTCGTTTAATTTGGTGAGCTTTTCACCATCATTATTTTTTATTCTACATGTTGTTTTTCCAGTCCAAACAATAATAACTTTTGGATATCTAAAAAGCTTTCGAAACAGCACACGTAAAAACAATGCATAGTGGAGAATAGAAGACTTTATGGGAATGAAAATACAATATGATATGACTTCGGGAGTATGTATATTTATGTGTGTGTGTTTGTGTATTTCTATGTCTTGTCAACAATATAACATAATGTTTTCTAAGAAAGCACTTCGACCACCGCGAACAAGCTTATAAACAAAGCAAAAAATGTAAGAACGATAAAAATAAACAATGTGACACAATACATTGAGATCAGGTTGTAAATTATCAAGTAGCGTGCCACAATAATGTTAAAACAACAATAGTTGACAGTTAAAATAAGTTACTATTTTAAAAAGCATCTGAAATGAAAATAGTAGTAATATAAAAAATATAGTTTCAAAAAACAAGCAAACAAAAATTTAACACACCAGATAAATGTATTACGTGGAAACCCGTAAACATAAGTAAATGGAATCAGAATACAGACATAGACTATTGTATAGACCAGGAATTGTCCATGCAAAGCGAAAGCTTCCGTAGAGTTTCTACAAAGGAATGACGTTATTATTTTCGCCCAATATTCAATTTTGGAACCTCGTTGTGAGCGTTATTCAGGTGTCGTCACATTAACTTGCTAAATTACTTACACTTTACTTCGTTGTGAGCGTTATTCAGGTGTCGTCACATTAACTTGCTAAATCACTTACACTTTACTTCTCTACTTTTCTGACATGCAGAACATTAATACTGAGTTAAAAAACGTTTTTTGTGACACACCAGACAATCCTATATTTAAAACAGTTTTATTAAAACAAATGGTTAAAAACTTGCCCAGACTTTCTCTAACAATCCTTTATACTACTATTTAATATGATGAGCATGATGTAGAAGATATTTCAATCAGGATACTTCATACAACCCTTATTTTATTTTCATTCCAAACAAACCTTTTCTTTGCAATTTGAATTATTTCTATAAAGGTAGAAGATATCAACTTAGAATTTTATTTTTGATCATTTTGTTGAATCTTGTAATCTAGTTATTTGAATAATTTTTGTTAGAGGTTCACAATCATATTTTAGTTAATATAAGGAATGGTCAAGTCACGGTTTGGTTCCTAATAAAATAACAAGGCACAATTTTAAATGTGTTCAAGTGGAATTTTCATTTAAGTTTCAATAGAATAACACATAGAGTCCATGCGTGTAAGTTCACCAAAAGCGACTCCTTGTTTAACACAAGTGAAGTGATGAAATGTAAAGTTAAAGATAAAAATGTTGCCAAAGGACTCACGAAACAACTACGTTTTCAAATGGCTTTCTTAAACTCTTACTAAGATACATATGAAAACTAATTTCTCAGCATGGTTCAAAAGCAAAACCTTCTGAATGAAAATACAGACTTTAAAAAATCATGAAACTTGTGAAAATTCCCCAGGCCAATAATATGGCTTCATGCATCTGTATTGATAGCCAAAGGCCTTAATTTTTCTCCTGTTCTTAGTATACTACAAGATGGAAAAACGAGATCACACATTTTAATTTAGATCAGCGTGAATTCTTTTGAAATAAATATTTCGATATCTGGTCTCACTCCTTTTTTTTTTTATATCGAATGTCAGCGCCACCCATTGTTTGCTGAATATACAAAAACACATACAATAAAACGAGTGATTTCAGTTGGTACATGCCATAATTTATTTATTATAGAAAAAGAAATAACTATTTTATTCGAACACCGTATGAACGAAATTAAGAACATGCATTTCGTTCCGAATTTTTCGTATTTTTTTTTAGTATCCACTTCTAATCAAACTTAATAAAATGTGTGTGGACCGTTATGATTCCTCCAAGTCCGAAGATTTTGAGCAACGTTACCTTAGATACAGAAAAAAGATTAAAATACTTTTTCTTGCAACGTTCGTGTTATTTATATTGGTATTTCTTTATAATGCATTAAATCATAACATTAAACTGTTCAGATACCTGATAATGCCACACTTTATACACTGTACAGTTCAGATTAAAGATTATTTGAGTGTGTGTGAGATTCCGTCCAACTTGCCTGTAACTGGGCAGAGGGTAACCTTGGGCTGCACACGTCAGTTCGACTGGTTCGCCTTCTTGGACGTGGACAGATATTCTAGTGTCAGATAATCTTGGTGCTTGCTTTTCTTTTGCATCTATAATCAAGAAAAGTAATTTATTCAATAGGTTCATAACTTTAAGTACTTTTCAAGCTTCATATGAGGTTAAAATTGCTTCAAAATAATGGTTAAAAAGTGCCTTAGCACAGTGGTAAAATAAAGAATTGAGATTCGTTAAATGATTAGCTGAGTAAATTTAAACTTAAAGGCATTAGCTTTAGACTATCGTTATGAAAATTTAATACCTACACTGATTTCATCCAACCCGAAGGAAAAATTTTAGCATTTTTTTTTCTCTGTTAAATACTTTCCTAATTAGTTATCATCACGTATACGTTGGTACACTTTAAATGATCTATGGACAACAACGAAATAGCTAGAAACTAATAAACAAATCTAATATTTTCGTTTTGTCTCTTGGTAGCTCAGCGTTAAAGCTTCAGGTCCTCTAAAGCTAAAATTCAGGTTCAATTCCCGGGGAGAAACACAGTTTAGGTTGCTCATTGTGCAGCTTTCATTAAAAAAAAACAAAAAACTTTTATCTGCTGATGTAATACTGAGATGAAGTTTCAGATAGTCACTAAAATAATTTTTAATTAAATAATTTAACGTTCCACACGAATCTGTTTAACTCTACATTCCTCCAGTAACTAGATAGGTAATTACATACTGAAAAATATAGCTATAATAATATACGAGCAATAAGAAATAATTTGGTTCTTCAAGGCTGTCCTTGCACATTGTCCCTTGAGAAAAGTACACATTTAAAACCCACACTTCATTCTTTTAGGAAACGATCGATTCTCCCCCTTAAGCCTTCGTAAAGCGCTGGTTTCCCCTACCGCTGCCGGTAACTCATTTTATAAGCCAATCACTCTGTTATAAGTAATAAAATTGTCTTAATTGGAGTCTAGCCTGTCTTTTATAAATTTTAATCGTGTGTCCTCTCGTCCTATTATTTTCAGAATAAAACACAAATAAACCACAAGCTTTTATCCTATTGATCATACCCTCGGATAAGCATTTAAACTTCCATAAAATCACCTCTCATCCTTTTTCTCAAAGAAAAATAAATTAAAATATCTTAACCTATGGATTTTTTTTTCAAATAAGTCAAAATCATATTTTAGATAAGGAGACCAAAATTGTACATAGTATTCTATTGGTTTGTTTGTAATTAAGCACAAAGCTACACAATGGGCTATCTGCGCTCTGCCCACCAAATCATGACAACCCAAATACACTACATTACACCTACTATAATTAAAGATCATTTGTTAAAGATTTTTCCAACTTACCAAATTATAAAATACTTTGTGCAATACCTTTTCACTCTCAATACGCCTAAAAATACCCAAGAGTTTAATGTCAAAAGCAAACGTTAATAATTATAACCCTATCAATATCATTATTTTAAAAATAAGAAAAAGCAAAATTATGAGCAGTGAACTCCGAAACAATCCGCTAATAACAAGGATCCAGTTTGACTGGACTCTATTTGTAGTCTTTTTGCTTCTTCCCATCCAATCACCCTACACTCCGACCTTTCCCATATTGATGTGATTGCATAGGTAATAGTTTGTGTGGCATCTTATCTAAACGTTTTCATAAATTTAAGTACACCAACTCCATACTCATTTGATCGTCCTGATAAAGATATGATGGAGACAGGACGAATATAGAATCTCCTCATCAGATATTTGTACTAAGCCTTTCAGGACAGACAGGATTATTATTGGTTTGTACTTGCTAGTCATCAGACCTATTAAGTTTAAAAGCTAATTATAAAGTTTAGCTTATGAAAAATCTTTGTGTTACAAAAATTAGATAACATCCAAAGCACTCAACTCACCCTAGAGTCGTAACAAGATTTAATTTCCTCATCTCAAGCTCAAAATAGAATTAAGAGTTTATAAATGGCTTTAAACACCTTAAGTTGCTCCATTGACATCTAAACAGTTTGAGCATCAAAATAATTACAAAATAAGTAACTTCAAACTAAAAACACAAAAAGCAATATTGTCAAATACAAATAATTGATAATATGCTGTAACAATATTTCGAAGATACAAACTAAAATTACGTTTTACTGTAACAATATTTCGAAGATACTAAAATTACGGTTTACCGAATTTCAAGTGGTATAAATAGTGACCACCTGTCTGTTTACTGTGCAACGGTGAAGTAAAAGAGAATCTCTCTATATAAATCTATATTTAACGTTATTAGTAATGTCATTAACGTTGTACATTTAAGCTTCACTACTTTTTTATCGGGATGTCTTTAATCATCTTTCATAGCTGCCTTCAGGGTCATCGTAGGAAGTTAAAGATGTGAACTGCGAAACAAAGACTATACCTAAAAGGTTTGGTGACAGTACGCTAGAAAGAATTAATTCCAATTATTTTTGGTGCATTTTTAATAGCAGCAACGATATCACCGTCCCACTTAATGCGAAAACTAAATTTTATCTTTACAGTAAACTTTACTTATCTCTTTCTCTTATTTTGCATCTTGGAAAGGAAATGTTTGAAAATATATATATATATATATATATATATGAGAATACATTAGACATCATATTCAAAGTTGCCGGAGCTTTATTTTTCTTTTCAAGTTTCCATTTATATGGAAAAAAAAACATACAACTTTTCTTGTAATGCAGTGAATGTTAATTAAGTAAATTTCTCATACAGTAAGGTCAACAGTATCAAAGCTAAGAAATCGTCATTCTCGAAGCCTGAACTCTTCATTTCAGATATCATAGGAAATCAGAAACAATTCCCTTTTAAGTAAGAAGTAAAATATTATTATTATTTTGCTGTTTTTCAAATACTATATTTATTTAGTTTTTAACGTACACTTCAAACAAAAAGGACTCGTACGTTGGGCAAGTATGTTTGTAATTAAGCACAAAGCTACATAGTGGGCTATCTGTGCTCTGCCCACCACGGGTATCGAATTCTAGTTTCTAGCGTTGTAAGTTCGAATTGATAAAATTATAAAAATATATGCTTTTTATTAAATTGTTTTTCAGCTTTTGACAACACTAAACGTGAAATAACGACTTATAGCCACCTGTAGAGCTAAAGACATTAAAACTTATTTTAAGCTATATCGAAACCTATAATTTTAATTACTAATTGACTAGCTAAAAGCTATTATGTAGATGCAATCTTTTTTTCCAATTAAACTGAAAGTTAACAGAATAAAATCTGTTTGTACTCGACTAACTTTAAGTTTACTAAGTTTTTAAATTTAAAGTAATGCTATTAATATTACTAAACTTGTTGTTGTTTATTATTAAGCACAAAGCTACACAAAGGGCTATCTGTGCTCTACCCACCACGGGTATCGAAACCCGGTTTCTAGCAGTATAAGGCCGCAAACATACCGCTGTGCCACTGGGGGCACTAAACTTGCAACAATATTCCAGATTAATTTCTAAAGTTTATAAGATATCTTAATTTTAATCACCCATCGTATATTCCCACAGTTTATAAAAACGTCACAATTGATCAAAAGTAATACCATTTTCGATAAATGCCCCCCCCCCCAGTGGCACAGCGGTATGTCTGCAGACTTACAACGCTATAAACCGGGTTTCGATACCCGTGGTGGGCAGAGCACAGATAGCCCATTGTGTAGCTTTGTGCTTAATTATAAAACAAACAAAACAAAGAAACAATAAATGGCATGGCCTAGTGGTTAGGGCACTCGACTCGCAATTTGCGGGTCGCAGATTCGAATCCCCATCACCAAACATGCTCGCCCTTTCAGTCGTGGGGCATTATGATGTGACGGTCAATCCCACTACTCAATGGGAAAAGAGTAGTCTAAGAATTGGAGCGGGTGATGTTGACTAGTTACCTTCCCTCTAGTTATGGACGGCTAGCGCAGATAGCCTTCGAGTAGCCTTGCGCAAAATTTAAAAACAAACAAATTTTTCAATAAAGTACATTATCAACAATAGAACATTTCAAGAGAGTGAAATATGATAAAATTATACATGGAAAATGTCGAAAACTTTTAAACGTCAATTACAGGTCACGCCCATTTCCAAATTAATTAAAATGTGAAATTACTTAGAAAAAGGTTGTAGATACTTCATCATGAATTCTTAAAGTATCCCACACTTCCCTTCATATCCCAAACAGAAATTTGTCAAGTCGTGGTTAGGTATTTACGAATTTGGGTTGTACAATACGAATTTTGAGAAATATAACAAGTTGAACTGGCTTTATATGATTATCTTTATTGAAATGACGAACGTGAAAATTTTTGTTTGTTTGTTGTTAAACACAAAAAACAAACCAATGACCTATCTGTTCTCTGTTCACTGTTGTATCGAAATCCTAATTCTAGCGTTATATGCCCTCAGGCTTACTGCTGAGCCGCCAGAGAACGTGTAGGTTTTAAATATCTCTTGTTGTTTCATACGGCGCTAACACCATTGCTGTTTATCCTAAAACAGTATATGTCCTCTGGCTTACTGCTGAGCCGCCAGAGAACGTGCAGGTTTTAAATATCTCCTGTTGCTTCATACGGCGCTAACACCATTGCTGTTTATCCTAAAACAGTATATGTCCTCTGGCTTACTGCTGAGCCGCCAGAGAACGTGTAGGTTTTAAATATCTCCTGTTGTTTCATACAGCGCTAACATCATTGTTGTTTATCTTAAATAACACTTACAGTGAGGAATGTAAGCGAAGTTCTACAAAGTAATCTGTCCACTCGCTGCATGGAGGCTTTAACAGCTTTGGTTAAAATTGTTCCCAAGTTCAGTATATGGGTAAAAAATATTTGTTTTGGTAGAAAATCATCTTAACACACAAATATATTTTAATCCATTAGATTCAATTCTTTAGTGGAAGATTCCGTTCCTTTGAAGAAAGAAATAGTGTTTCTTCTTACTCAGTGATTGGTATGTTTTAAAAATTTAAAAACGCTGTTGTCACCCACCTTTTAATGTTCAATTGTTTTCAATTAAATTATTTCTCATTGTCGCAGTTAAAGTGAAGTAAATCAGGTGTGATTCAACATTATTACTGCACCAGAGAAAAACATATAAAACATCACCTAACACAATTAGTCGCCCATGGGACATGCTGAGCCTACTGTCTTCCCTACTTAGTTCGTGTCTAGTGCGACATCTATAAAATTGAAATCCGTCACTCAACACAGTCTCCCGGATGTGAAGCTCTCCATTAGCAAGAACGCTATACCTTCCACCTGGTGGATATTTAAAAGACATAAAGCAATTAATGCACTTAAACAAATAACATATGAAAATCAAACAGCATGTAAAATTGTATCTTTAAACTTCATAATTGTCTACTGTGAATGATGGTACGACATAAAATGTATTCTAATTAAAGTTACGTCAACGTTTAATGAATAACAACCGTAAAGATTGTTGAAAAGAAATCATTATAAACTATGCATCTAAATTTCGATTTCTAATGAAATAATTTATGTTAAGCCTTATTTTCATTACGACTCTTTTACTGAAAAAATAACAAAATACTTCAAAAAGAAAAGTACTATTAGATATCATTAGCAAAATGTATTCGACGAGAACCAATAAAAAAAGATATTATATCAAATGGTTATTCAAGCTGAAAGTAAATTACTTAATACCATGTTTGAAGTAAACGTCCTATATTATTTACAGCCATTTTTTCTTCAGTGTAAAAGTCAAGCTTCCTCTGTAAAGAAAGTAATTTTCATTTCCATGGCGGGATGAAAATTTAGTCCCTGAGAGAGAGAAAGCATCCCGCCTGATGTATGTGAAGTCCATGTTCTCTGTGGTCTTATGTCTTATATAAGAATTAAGCGAGTTAATAATCACTGCATGTAAAATCTGATTGATTGTTGCATTGAAGCCAGTTAAAACTCCAAACCACAGTGTATGTAACGTTAGGCCATTAGTTCATTTACCCGTTCGAAATTAAATTCATTATCGTGAGTACTTTTCGAGAAAGGTTATCTGATTCTAAATATCTCCCTCATTAAGAGAGAAGGGTTAGGTGATTCTTGATAACAAATATTATGACTTGTTACTGATCCTAACTGTCATTCACAGGACGTAGATTAGGACTTGTTACTGATTTTAACTGTCCTCCACATCGTGAAGAGTGTGACCGTTACTGATTCTAACTGTCGTCCACATGACGCAGATTAGGACTTGTTAGTGATTTTAACTGTCCTCCACATTGCGAAGATTGTAACTGTTACTGATCCTAACTGTCGTCCACAGGATGTAGATTAGGACTTGTTACTGATTCTAACTGTCCTCCACATTTCGAAGATTATGACTTATTACTGATTCTAACTGTCTTCATACTACGAGGATTGTGACTTGTTACTGATTCCAACTGTTCTCCACATTGCGTAGATTAGGACTTGTTACTGATTCTAACTGTCCTTCACATTGCAAAGATTAGGACTTGTTTCTGATTCTAACTGTCCTCCACGTTGCAAAGATTGTGACTTGTTACTAATTCCAACTGTCCTCCACATTGCGAAGATTAGGACTTGTTACTGATTCTAACTGTTCTCCACATTGCGAAGATTAGGACTTGTTTCTGATTCCAACTGTCCTCCACATTGCAAAGATTGTGACTTGTTACTGATTCCAACTGTCCTCCACATTGCGAAGATTAGGACTTGTTACTGATTCTAACTGTTCTCCACATTGCGAAGATTAGGACTTGTTACTGATTCCAACTGTCCTCCACATTTCGAAGATTAGGACTTGTTTCTGATTCTAACTGTCCTCCACATTGCGAAGATTGTGATTTGTTACTGATTCTGACTAGATAGATAAAGTATTTTGTATATACGTTTGACTTACAAACGTTTGCTACTAGTCACACTTGAAATCTAGACAGTTGTTCCATAATGTACTGACCATGACAACAACTTTTACTATAATAATATTTTATGTCTTGCCATTTGTATCCACGGCAACAGTTATTACTGTGGTTATATGATACCTATCAAGTTGTACCCATGGCAACAGTTGTTACTATAGTTATATTTAATGTCTAGGCAGTTGTATCCCATGACAACAGTTGTCACTATAGTTATATTTGATGCCTAGCCAGTTGTATAGATATATTACAAAAATAGTTTCTGTAGTTATATTTGATATCTGGTCAGAATTACCCATGACAACAGTATTGATAGTTATATTTGATATCTAGTCAGATGTACCCATGACAACAGTTGTTACTATAATTACGTTTGATATATAGCCAGATGTATATATGGCAACAATAGTTTCTGTAGTTATATTTGATATCTATTCAGATGTACCCATGATAAGAGTTATTACTGTAATTACATTTGATATCTAGTCAATTCTACCCATGACAACAGTTGTTACAGTAGTTATAGTTTATATCTAGCTAATTATATGTATCTACGTCTGGAACACAGAAAATTGGTACTAACTGAATTGGGTATCCAGGCACATTTGTTCCTATAGTCACAGTTGATATCCAAATAGTTGTTCCTAGATATACATTAGTGTGCGACGACACTTATCATTACTAGGTGCTAAAATTCAGACATTTATCAACAGTTGTGATTAGTTAAATAAACCTTGTTATGCTTAATACTTAACAACAGCTCAAGAAGCTATATTGATACACATAATCAGCAACACTTGACACTTGTTCTCATCATACCGTATAACTGCCATCCAGACACTTACCACTTGCTACGTTCGATTTGATTGTCACGCCATCTTCTCTTTCCCACGACGTAACCTTGACAAACTCCTTGACGTAGTTAGGTAAATGACAATAGAGGACGGCTGTATTTCCTCGCACAACTATCTCATCATGTATCTGAGCTGCGTAATCTTGTTCTAACACTATGGAAATAGAAATATCATAGTTTTATCTGAGCTGCGTAATCTTGTTCTAACACTATGAAAATAGAAATATCATAGTTTTATCTGAGCTGCGTAATCTTGTTCTAACACTATGGAAATAGAAATGTCATAGTTTTATCTGAGCTGCGTAATCTTGTTCTAAAACTATGAAAATAAAATTATCATAGTTTTATGTTTAAAAAAATAAGATCCTTTTCCAACTTGCTTGTTTGCAGATTTGTATTGCTAATCTCAGCCACTCACTTGGTAGCACTACATACTATCTTAGCCACTCATTCAGTATCACTACATACTAGCTTAGCCACTCATTTGGTAGCACCACATACTATCTTAGCCACTCATTCGGTATCACTACATACTAGCTTAGCCACTCATTTGGTAGCACTACATACTATCTTAGCCACTCATTCGGTATCACTACATACTAGCTTAGCCACTCATTCGGTAGCACTACATACTAGCTTAGCCACTCATTCGGTATCACTACATACTATCTTAGCCACTCATTCGGTATCACTACATACTAGCTTAGCCACTCATTCGGTAGCACTACATACTAGCTTAGCCACTCATTCGGTATCACTACATACTAGCTTAGCCACTCATTCGGTATCACTACATACTATCTTAGCCACTGATTCGGTATCACTACATACTAGCTTAACCACTCATTTGGTAGCACTACATACTATCTTAGCCACTCATTCGGTATCACTACATACTAGCTTAACCACTCATTTGGTATCACTACATACTATCTTAGCCACTCATTCGGTATCACTACATACTAGCTTAGCCACTCATTCGGTAGCACTACATACTGTCTTAGCCACTGCTTCAGTAGCACTGCATATTATCTTCGCCACTCCTTCAGTAGCACTACATACTATCTTAGCCACATATGAATCAATTTAGCTCATAACATACTCAGAAGTAGAATATTTTACACTTAATCTACCAATATATCGTGGACACATGGGAACAGAGAACAGAAATAAGTACTTTGAGCTGTGTAGTATCTTTTACATGAAAATAACGTATTTTTCTCTATATCTTACAATCATTGAGTCGTAGAATTCTCAATGATTATATATCTCGCTTCTGAATAGCCATAATTAGGAGATTAAAGTGATATTGAATGAATCCATTTTGGACATCGTTCTTTGAATCTGCCCTTAAAAATAACCTATTCATTAGGCATTCTAACTTAGAAGTTGAGCATATTACGAAATTTGAATCAAATTCAGACTGATATTGAGCTTTAAAATATTGTGTGTATGTGAGAAATAATTTATCATTCAGACTAACAATTAAATTTGCTAAATTTGCTACTGGTAATCTTTACTCCTATAAGCCTTTAGTAAATATAAATTGAAACATCTAATGCTACCTGATATTTAGCATGAACATACTTAAAAACTGATTATGCTACTATGGTATATGTCTGAAATAGAATGACTAAGTCAAATCAAACTTTGCAATTAACACTATAAGTAAGACAACAAAAGGTCTACGCTTTACTTGTGATTCAAAAATATCGCAGAAAGGTAATAGCTATATATTATAACTTATAAGGACAATTTGTATATGTTAATATAGTGGCGTTTCGCTTCAGGTGGAAGCTATTAAGTCATTGAGAACATGTTTAACACCTATGTATTTGGTTCATGACAAATTTCAGACTATTGCTAGAGAAGTACAACTCTTTCTGAGAACGATATTCGTATAGCAAGATTGTATAAATGATGCGAAGCCAAGAGGTACATTTCAAAGGAAAGAACCTTCAATATTTTCCAGGGAAATGGGAAAAAATCTTACTTAGTAGAGCATTTATGACAGCAATGAGCTCCGAAACCTCAACATAAACCAACAGGATCATCTTCTTCATCCATAAAGTGAATCCATGATTACAAATGTGACCCCCTCAAACTCAATAAGTTAATGTGATAAAATGAAACTGTGTATATATATATGGTTTCTTTAACACGATAATTAATAAGGATTTGAAGTGGACGAAGGTTCACAAATTTGTATCTATGCATTGAAACCAATTATTGTTTTCACGAAAACAATTAACGAAAAATAAGAATCACAGCAATCCCATTCAAACATATACCTTCCAGTTGTCACAGCTCAGATAAGTTGTGCCTTTTGTCTACTTAATCTTGACTTTGTAAGTAGACACTGAAAAGTCTTTCGAAAATTAGTCAAGATGTTTGGTTTATGATTAATCCCATAATCCTTTGCAAAAGTTTGTTAGGGAAAGGTGGGGTGTGACAGGTACCTTAGTTTCAAATGCGTTTTTCATCAATTCACTTCTTGTGGTTGGGGACCTGTAGGAATGGATAGAATGGCCCACAAAATAGAGTAAGAGGCTCCATATCTGTACTTTTGGGCTAGTGGTTCGTTATAAGATTAGAGCACACCAAAAGTTAAGGTGAGTGCTATTGAATGGCTGCTTTTCATCTAATCTATCTGTTCAAAGCTAGAGAAGGTTGATGTAGCTTTGGACGAAACAAACCAAACGTATGTGTCATCATATAAATATTTGCTGAAATAAACATATATTCGACAAATAAGTTATCTTCAAAGAAATACTTTTTGGGACAAACGTGTCTTCATATAAACCCATTTTCGTATATAATCATTTCTGGAGATAAACATGTTTTTTTACATACATAACGCTAAATACATGTTTGACAAATTAGGAGTTTTATAAATATGCCTTTCTTGTTAAATGCAAGAAGCCTTTAGGAAAATATTTTACGCTGTAAACACGATTTTTTTATTATTTGCATAATGAAAATATTAAATGAGTCTCGTATTTTCTTACCATACGACTTATTTATCTACAGAGTCTTAATCGAGTTTTACAGTTTGAAAAGCCTTCTATTGCAGGATAAGAAGGCTGTGAACATGTGGTTATTCGATTATTTCATTCAGAGTAGAGTTCTACAGAACCATTGGTCTAACACACCACCACTGACTTAGGTTAGTCGATTTCAGCTAACTTAATTCGTTGTGGATGAAAACCTCCATCTGAGAGCAGCCGAACGAAAACCGTATTCTGTAAAAGTATCACTTCTTACAACCAATGTTAGACATTGAACGATGAACTTCCATATACGCCTGGAATCTTCGAATTGGATCTCACAAGATAACTCAGTCGGCTGTGAAAGAAAAGAAAGGAGGTATAGACAAGCCAAGCAGTCGTTCTTAACTTTTGCGTAACGTTGTACTTTGTCCAAAGCTATTCAACAGGAGAGAAGAAATTTTGCTGGAACAGTAGGCAAGAAAGACTAAGCTTTAAAGTTGGCTGCGAATGTAATGGCAAAGAGCCAAATCAGTCCCAATATATTCCTCTTGTCTCTTATGTGTGTTTTTTCTTAAATGTTTCTGTCCATTTTATTTTATAATCGTATGTATGTATTTATGTATTCAAAAAATCTGCAAATCAATAAGGGATACACCCTCATACGTGATAACGAGCACAAGTGCATTATGTGACACGTGACAATCACAGCAGTATAAAGTCAGGATGGAACAGAATGTACCAGAACTACATTTTGACATCATTTGGCACTTCATAGGTAAGGTGATACTGTTGAAGGTTTATTGTTTTTGAGATGGGTATGTAACTGTCATTTCCGAAGCAAAATATATAATACACTTAGATCATAAAGATGTGTTCAGATCAGGAATGTAGAATTTTCTAGGCAGTAATACCCCTTGTACTTAATGTCATTAGAAGCAAAGGAATATGGATCAACTTAGAGAAACAAGACCTTCCATAAACAGATCTGCAACAAGTCATGTCCCTGCGTGGTAAGAAAAATGCGTCTTGTAAAAGGTGAGAATTCATGAACACAAGGTCAATGGCAAAAGTTGTACAAGTGTCTCAGGAAACAGTACACAACATAATCCAGGAGGATCTCTGTATGGAAACGAGGCCAGCTGGGTGAGGACTCACCAAAATAATACTTCCAGTCGAATTTCCCGTTCAACTGTTGCATACCTCAAGCATCTGAAGAATGAACTGGGTAGTTACGTTATTCCTTATGAAGACATAGCAGTCAAGTCGTCTGACACAGTGCCTACGGATATCTGTGTGATTGAACTGTTGAAACGGGAACTGGGAAACTGTCATTCTCATACAGTAGATAAATTATGGAAAGCAAGTAGGGAAGAGTGGTGTGATTCGGACATGACAGCCTTAAACGGATCTTTTTGCAATGAACAATACACTACAGAACTACTGTCATTATGCAAGGTCGTTAAATGGAGCAAGACCGATTCAGGTGACATGAACTATAGGACGTGGTGATGCTCTCAAATTTTACAATATCATATTGTATGTGTGTAAACTTCTCGAGCATATTTGATATATATATATATATATCAAATATGCTCGAGAAAGGCACCGCAAAGCACCGCGAAGTTTGAATTATCGTTTGTTTTTATCCTGTTTTTTTTGGTTAGTTGTTTGGTTGGTACCGCTTTTGTAGCTTTAATGCTACTCTTTCAACTATGTAATTAAAAATAATAATACTCAACACATAAAATAAATATAATCGTTAACAAAGTATATATAACACATTTATAACAGATAAATCCCAGTAAAAATAGTCTAAACAAATCAATAATAAATAATGATTATGTATATTATATACAATCCAGAAACAATTAGAGATGGTAAATAACAAAACATATTTAGAAACATTTAAAGAAACAAAATATTTAAATCGTATTCAAATCTTTATTATAAAGTAACACTCATAAAATAATACTATCGTCGATTATTACAAACCCAAAATGTAGATTGAAAGGTTCTTCCAATAAGCCATATGTACTGAAGATACAGTTAAAAAAACACTCTGAGCATCTTAATGAGGTCTGACTCGGGTTTCTAACATGAAACTTGTGCTCATTCATTCTGGATAATAAATTCTCTGTTAGCCAACGTAACTTTCGCCACAAAC